CCCATTAGATCTGCAACCACTGTAGTTGGGAGTCTTGATGTTTACAAGATGCTACCAGCTTCTGTCATCAACAGGTTTAAAGATGTCTACACAGCAAAAGCTGTGAATGGGCTAGTGTGTCCAAACTAACTTGAATCCAGCTAGGATTGGTAACAACAGAAGTAAAGACAGCACAGACCAGTACAGCTCGCTAGAGCATTCTGAAGCCTAAATATACATATAAAGTCCATACCAGACTTGCATTATCCACAGTTTACAGGCTTAATCTTGACATTACTAATACATGTTTCAGCATCACCCAATGTCAGGAAATTTTTGCATTTGCTCAGGAACAGTACATCTTCTTTAGCCGTAGTTACAAGCACTATGATATATTTGTTAAGGCACGACTGAAGCTAGATCAAATGGTACTTGAGTTAGGTAGATTTCTTGAAATCTGCTAATTATGTTAGCACGATTCCTTCTGAAAACTGCTTACAAGATATGGTAGAAACACTGGAACCCATTTCAGTTCCAAGACATGAGGGACCATCAGCTAACACTGAAAAGGGCTTGATGGTAAGACCAAGAGCTACTCCTTTCTTTGAGGTTCTTAGTTCTTCAAAGAATATTTAAGATTTTGAAACAAAAGGAAAAACTATGTAGCGCTTTAAAAACTAACAAGATGGTTTAATAGGTGATGAGCTTTCATGGGCCAGACCCACTTCCTCAGATCATATTCTGGAAGAGAACTGGCATGACCATCTATACCAAAGGAATACAATGAAAAAAGTGAGCACATTATTAAACTGACAAATCAGATTTAGTACAGAAGGTGGGGTGGGGGAGAGGGAGGGAATTAATGTGCTATGTCCTATGGTTGTTGTAGTAGGTTGATGGTATCTCAGCCTGGACCATTCAACACAAGAGATCCATTTCCTGGACACCACAGTACAAATCACTAATGAAAAATTAAATACCACTCTCTACAGAAAACCCACTGACTGGTACATTTACCTACATGCCTCCAGCTTCCATCCAGGACACACAATACAATCCATCATCTATCAAGCCCTTAGGTACAACCGCATCTGCTCTAATACCACTGACAGAGATCAGAAACTTCAAGATCTCTACCAAGCATTTGTAAATCTCAATTACCCACCGGGGGAAATAAAAAAAAAAAAAATTGAAAAAGCTAGACGAATACCCAGAAACCATCTACTTCAAGATAGGCCCAAGAAAACCAACAATAGAACACCACTTGTCATCACGTATGGCCCCCAACTTAAACCCCTCCAACACATTATCAATAACCTACAACCTATACTGGAACAGAATACTACACTCCAAGAGGCTATGGGGGACAGACCTATAGTCTCCTATAGACAACCACCTAACCTCAGGAAGATTCTTACCAACAACCACAAGACATACCACATTAATACCAACCCTGGAACTTTCCCTTGCAACAAGCCCCGTTGCCAACTTTGTCCACATATTTACTCTGGTGACACCATCGTTGGACCTACCCATGTCAGTTATATGATCAAGAACACATATTCCTGTTCATCCAGAGATATAATTTATGCCATCATGTGCCAACGGCATCCTTCTGCTATGTATATTGGACAGACTTCTCAGACACTTCAAAGAATTAATGCCCACAAATCAGACATCTTCACAAGGAAAAACCAGTTGCTTTTCATTTCAACCTACCTGGACAGTCTTAACGACCTTACTACATGCATCTTACTTCAAAGAGACTTTAACACCAGATTACAGAGGGAAACTTCAGAACTTTCATTCATGCTTAAATTTGACACTTTATGAATGGGTCTTAAAGATGCTAATTACCTTACCCATTACAAAGACAGCTTCCCCGCTTATCACCCCTGATTCGCCATTCATTGATTCATATATAGCTATTCCCTCCCTCCCTTCCTCTCCCCCACCCCACCTTCAGTACTAAATCTGATTTGTCAGTTTAATAATGTGCTCACTTTTTTCATTGTATTCCTTTGGTATAGATGGTCACGCCAATTCTCTTCCAGAATATGATCTGAGGAAGTGGGTCTGGCCCAAGAAAGCTCATCACCTATTAAAGTGCTATATAGTTTTTCCTTTTGTTTTAGCAAGATCAATTAACATGGCTACCTCTCTATTAAGATTTTGAAGAGTGCTTCAGAAGAGCTGCAAAATGAAAGCCTGAATTTATCAAGTGCGATATAATTAGAAGGAAGCAGTGTTGCTGATCTTCAAAAAATGAGTGTATCTGAAAGCAAATGGAAGGTGTTCTGTGATGAAGGTGAAATCATTGCCAAGGAAGTTGAAATTGCTATTCCAGGTTAGGCAGTAGCTACTGCTGAACAAAGCAATACAAAAACAGTAAGAAGACCTTATTAAAAAAAAAAAAAAAAAAGGTTACCTACCTTTCATAACTGTTGTTCTTCAAGATGTGTTGCTCATGTCAATTCTATTTTAGATGTGTCATTCATAGTTGTCAAAAACTTTTGCTTTAGCAGTATCCAGAGGGGCGGCTGTGGTGCCCCTTGGTGTGCTACACTCATGGCATGGTATATCAGGTGCTGCCAACCCTTCACAATCTCAGTTCCTTCTTACCGGAAACTCCAACAGGAACAGGAGGGTGTGTAATGGAACAGACATTAGCGATACATCTTGAAGAACAATAATCACAAAAAGTGTGTAACTGGCTTTCCTTCTCTGGGTGCTTCCTCATATCGATTCCATTCTAGGTGACCCACAAGCAGAATTTTTGGGGGCAACCTCAAAGTTCACAATCTTGCAGATTGAAGCACTACTCTGCCAAAACCAGCATCATCTTCAGCTTGTTGAGTCAGTGCATAGTGTAAATCAATTGCAGGGATGACCGACCAAATCGTTGTACCATAAATTTCTTGGATTATGTAGCCAGACAGGAACCCCCATCTGTAACATCCATCTTGCTTGCCTGGAGCATACAGGGAACACACAGAGCAGTAAAATCAGCATAGTCTTTGAAGCCTTGACAGGAGGCCCGGATATGATAGCTCACAGTGACTCTGGATGGCTGTAAACAGAGATACGCCAATTGTTGACCTCGAGGCTGCAAGAACTGCCTTGGCTGGCACCTATATTGATATGAATACACAGCCGTCCGCGGGGGGAGGAATCTCCCGCCCAGTAAAGAATGTCCAGTACTCACAATTTAGTTATCTCTCTTGCAAGTGTAAATTAAGTTGAAACTCCCTTGTAAGAACTGGCATCACAAAGACGGACCAACACAATTTGGCATATTAGATAAGAAAGAGGATACGGGCCCCTATGGGTATAAAGATGGGTCCGGCAGCACATTTACTCTGAGTGTCAATCTACCAACTACCTGCTGGTCGGGTTAGGTGTTTGACCTCCCGAGGTTCCACGGGGACGCCCACCTCATATTCGTCTTTCCTAGGAATTGAGGGACCGGCCCTGATTGACCCGCTGGAGTTGAGAGGCACAGAAGGGGGTAACAGTTGTACCTGGATGTGGTCCTTTGTCTTAAGTGTACACATAGACTTAGAGCTCTTTAAAGATTAAGCTGTCACTTGGTACCATTATTTCTATTTTTTATCTTTATTTTCTTTGTAACCATTTTTTAAAGATCTATATTTGCTAGCAGTTAAGAAATAGAGCAATAGCCATTGTAACCATATGATTTATAAGCTTTTTTAATAAACCTGTAACTGTTTAAGCTTTAACCTGACTCTTTCAGTTGCTGTAACAGAACCAAGCACAATTTAAAAGAACTTCAGCCGATCATAGGGAGCAGACACAGGCAGAGCTGAGCGTTTGGATCATGTCCCCTCCAGGGGACAGATCCATGGGGCACCTCTCAGCCTTCCCTCGGCTGCCTGCTGCGAAGGGATCATGTGTCCTAGCAGTTAAAGTCTGGGGCGTCTGTCAGCCTGTTGGCTGCCCGCCGAGAAGGGACCCGTGGCCTAGCGGTCAAAGACACGGAGGTAAAACTTTTGGGGCGCCCGTCGGCCTTCCTTAGGCCCCCTGCTGAGAAGGAACCTTGAGTTCTAGCAGTTGAAGACTCGGGTGTATAACACACGCGCGTGCCCTGCCCTGACCATCGGCTGACAGATCAGCACCTGAGTGAGGAAGGCTGCTAAGGATGCTTGCTCCCTAGTCCAGTGAACTACGATCGCTGGCAGAGGCACTTTAGCCAGCTCATAACAGTAGCCAATGTAGGCTGTGATCCATAATATTCTCTGGGCAGTCACTAATCAACCCTTCATCCTATCAGAGACAGCAACAATCATGTAGACTTATGGAATGGCTTTATTCCATCTATGTAGAAGGTCAGGGCCCATCTGACATCTAGGCTATGCAACCTGCATTCCTCATCTGTTGTGTGAGGCTTTGGCCACAAGACAGGCTAGCATACATCTTGACTAATATGGGATTGGAAAACAACCTTGGGTAGAAAGGCAAGGTACAGAGGCAGCTGAAACCTGCCCTTACAGAAAATTGTGTAAGGCAGCTCTAATGCGAGTGCCCTGATCTCAGACACTCTACAAGCCAAAGTAATAGTGTCTAAAGGAAATCTTCGAGGAGAGACACAGGAGAAGCCGGGTTCAGATGCAGAACATTGCATGGTTCTGGGACTGCAGATCCAGCCAAAGTGTCAGCTCCAGGGGTAGCTGCCAACAGACTCAACAGCATGCTGAAGCAGTGCTGACGAGGCCATGATCGAGCAACAAGGATGATAGTTGTTTTATTTCACTTCACCTTTAATAGAATCTTGTGGCTTAGTGACACTGGCAAAAAGGTGTACATCAGCACTACTGACAAAACCTGAGACAATTGTAGGACAAATGCAAAGGTGAAAAAAGTAATACATATTCAATTAAAAATATATAGTGCAGTCAACACTGAAGTGCTATGGTTTTCATTGTTAATGAAGGACTCTTGCTTTAAAAACAGTGTTCATTAATTCAATTATTTTTAAGCAAAAAATGACAATGTAAACATACTCTACCACTGTGTAATTCTACTCCATAGAATTCAAGGGTTCGCGCTATGTTTATATAGCAGGACTCTGCTTCTGATTGTTTGAGACCACTAAAGAAAAAAAAAACATAAAACGTTACTAATTTTAAATTACGTAAAGTCAAAATAAGAAATTAACCTCACTGACTAGACTATCTTAACTTACTAAAATTATTTTCTCTTCAAAGCAGACGATTTCTATATTCTGGCCTCTATTTTAGGAAGACATATCTGTGGTAATTCCAAATGGCTATTCTCTCACACAGTCATGTTTATTGTCCAGTCTGGTGATTAACAGAAAGTAGAAAGCAGCCTGCCCCCAAAGAATAAGCAAAGAAGAGCCCTGACAATTAAAGGAAACTAAATTGTAAAACCCACCAATCCATAAAGCAACATCTGAAGAAGTTACATCTACTTTAGCATTTGACAAACGAACAAAAATTCTCAGAAAGCCACTCTGCAAATCTGCTCATAAAAACTTCTTTGTTTTTGCCAGAGATGTGGTAATAGATCTCAATGAATGTGCTGCAAGACTTGGAAGAGGTTTTTTCCCCAGTATTCTTATAAGCTTCTAAGTTGCCTAAATTGAACAGCTGGGATACCTGTAAGAAATCAAGTTACTTTCACCACTGGAAGTACCTTGATTTGAGAGTTCTGAGGCTAAAGAAGGTATCATATGGCCTCAGAAGAGGAACTGTAGGCACTTGACATGGCCTTACACCATGGTAAAAAAACAAAGGTTATGAGACTTTCTAGACACAGGCTCGGGGGAGCAGAACAGATCCAACTGCGGCTGGGTCACTCTGCTTCCCTCCACCACAGTGAAGCAGAGCAACCTGGCTGGGAGATGGGCGACAGCAAAGTATAGCTGCTTGGTCGCTCTGCTTTTCGCAGCTCCCGCTGCCACGAGGGCAGGGCAGCCCAACCCCTATTGCTGCCCCGCACCAGGATCCCCGGTAAACCCCGAGATTGCGTCTCGCAGGGCAGGGGGCCTCACGTCTCTCAGGGCAGGAGGCTTCACATAAAAGAGCTGCGATGGGGGAAAGAAGAAGGCTGAGCAGGGACAGACTTTGAGGGAAGAGGTGAAGGGGGTGCAGTAGGGGAGGAAAGACACATGGTGGGGAAGAGGCTTGGGCAGAGGGGAGGGTGTCCCGGGCCCTATACCCCATTAGGGATGGCCCTGCCAGACACTAACATTAATTTATTATACTTAAATTTAGAAGTAAGTATTGAAATAAAATAATCAGCAGCTTAATTGAACTTATGCTACATTTAGTGCATAAATTATGAACGAAAATATAAACATTCAAATCCATATATTTCTTAATCAAAAAGCTTAAGCTTATTAAAAATAAATCAATGCAACATTCACCAGGTTCAATTTTCCAGGAACCTTAACCTTCCTCTTGCCCTTCTTTTTCAACTCATGAAATGGAGGTGAAGGAGAGGGAATGGGAAAAATGCTAAAAGTTTGTGCTTACCTATGCTGTTCATGTAGTGACTCTACTTTGGTTAAAAAATCTTTGTTCTGATCTGGTATGAAGCGGTAATTTGAAAGATATCCTGAATGATGTACTGAAGAGTTATAGTCTCCCAACTGCGCTATTAGGAAAAAACAAATGCAAAAAAAGAAGTTTCACAGATAGCCTCTATCTAGTGAAAATACCATTTACATGAATTTTCCAAAATAGCATAACCACCAAGAGAAAATATAGTTGAGAAAACCACAGGATTAAAAATTACTTCCCACTGACAATTTTATTTAATATACACAATCTTAAACAACAGCACATGAAAACATCTTTCAACATATAAGTGTGCTTACCATAAATAATTTTTTGGGCTCTGATTAGCTCAACACTGTTCAATTATTTATTAATCCATATTTTTGCTTTGAATGTTATAACACTTTTCAGACCACACATTACATCAGGAGACACGTAACCATGTGAAATCTCACAGATGAAACAGAATTGTCTAAATCAGGGAAAGCAAATTGAGCCTATTTTATATATGTGTGGCCCCATTAAAGATAAAGAAACTTCAGAATAAACATTAATTTTTTGAATATGTCTTGTATTTGAAACTATAAAGAAAATATTCAAAACCCATTTTAACTACCCAGTTGTCATTTATTCATCTCCATCTTAACTGAGTGTTAATGTTTCTCCTGGTAAGCAATTTCCAATAATGTTTCTCCATGGATTTGCAACAAAAATATATGCACCAAAATAGTTTTTCCATCTTTTATTTATTTGGCTATTTTATACAAGTGCCAATAATTAAATTTTCCCACAAAGGGATGCTGAACACAACAGTAAAGTAACAAATGGCCATATTGTTCTCTAGCTATGAAATACCGGCTAGAAATTGAACAGCATATGGCCTTAACTTTGTAGTCTCAGTGCATAGACAAAATCCAAAAATATAACTCAGCCCTTCCCAGAAAATAAGTTTGACACCTTCCATCTAAAGAGCACACTTGGACAGCACGTGCGAGTTAATTTTTTTGTTGATTTGTTTTATTTCAAGCACTTATCTGCTCTTACAAGAATTATCTAGAATGAAAGTGGAATTCCAAGTACCCAACTGACTCCACAGTAGAGCTTTCATATGCCAATCAAAATTAATGAAGTGATGTGATACCATGTAAATCACTAGAACTTGAACTACTTTTCTTAGCACAGAACAGCACTCATTTTAAATCATTTAAAAGCATTACAATATTTTTAAAAATTAAAGTTTTTTGTGAATAAGCACAAGAATACAAACTAGTCTGTGTTGAAGAAATTGCACACATTTGGCTAAGTCAGACAAAACACATTTTTCTAAACAAAATGCCATTAGGTTTACAAAATATTTAAAGGCTGTGCAATATGAAGAGGCAGGTTAGCCAAATGATCAATATTTCTTCATAAATAGAACTCATAGCTAACAATTGTAGGAAACCTAACACAGAGGGAACGCCGAATTTAGGAACACTGAGCAATTACGACATGAAGAAACAATGTCTACTGAGATATAAAACAGTGGTAGAATGAAAGCTGTCAGCACATGGCAAAATATAGTCTCATATCACCTTGTCAGCCCCAACTACTATCACAACACACACATTTAAATGGGGGGGGGGGGAAGAATGGACGAACATGAAATAATTTAGTTTGGTTACTATAATGTTCCTACTTATCTTTGCTCCTAAATGCCTTTGAATGCAGCTTAAATTTTAATCAAAACACTCTCTTGGCAGAAAATTTTGCATTTAAATAATGAATAGGTACACAAACTTTAACAATCTTTGCCAAATATTAACTCTTCCTTTGAAAGCAAACCATTCACTTCTATGAATTGTACCAAACTGAAAAAATTCCACATACACATTAATATAGATCCAGGCCAATACCTTGACAGATGTGCACTACTCAGGCTAAGGCTACAGAACCACAAACTTTAGAACTATTTATCCAAAATAATATAATATCAAATGGTATCAAAATAAAATATGTATGTGTCAGACAACTGTGGTTTGATGGGAGAGTATACTTGTTTTTCCTTTCCTTTCAAACAGTTAAAGTCTTTTCAATGCCTTCCATGTAATCTTGGGCTTACAATTTTTGTTTTTTGGGCAAAGTTGAGAAGTTTTTTCAACTAATTTCAAACATCTATTAAAGCTAATGTTAAAGATATGCATAGTACACGTTAAAGAAAAGGAGATTCTGTACATGTGAATGACAGTGCTAAAGTTGGTTTGAAACATCCTGTCAAGAAGAGACTACTGCCAAAAGTAAAACAACTCAATTTTCTCTTTCAAATGTTCATGCCTGTGTTTTTTATTGTAATTTAACATTCTCTAAAGAGAATACCAATTGTTCAGTGATTCATTATGAGTTTGGGTTCTTCTAGTTAATCTTCCAATCATGGAGACTCCTCTTATGCTCTTCCTCTCCCAAGCTAAGGACATCCTTGATGTCAGCCAGCAAAGAGGTGCAATTTAGAGTACTATTTGCATCTCTAACTCTCCAGACAACTCCCATAGTTGAAGAGATCAAACTATAATAAATGTTGTCTAGTACACATTGTAAGTGCAATCTAAAAAATCATCACGCATATTTCTTATTATCCAAACAATGGAAAAGAATGAGGGTTATCTTTCCTGCCTATGGACATCTGATGTTCTATGATTCACTGTAATTTGGAAGTAATATGAAGAAAAGAGAGCCACAAGCGAGGAAAATAATGTACCTGTTACTAGATGTGCATTGATCATTTAAAATCTGTCTGAAAAGTTGTAATGAAGAAAAACAAAACCATTCACTCAAAAAGCCATACTAAGATCAAGTATAGTAAACAAGGACAGCACATTTATTTAATGGTGGAGTGTCAAGGAATACAAAAAACACCAAATAGCCAAGTAGCAATTTCTTTAGATGAACCTTTGATGATAATATGCCTAACAAGTAGCATAGTAGTGAGAATCTTCAATGAAATAAAAAGATCTTTTACAGATATTTGAAGGCTTGAAAAATTCCTGTGTGTATGTCTACATATAGAGGATATGGATGCTTTGTGGCCCGGGCCTCCAGTGTAACTAAAAATAGTTCAGATTTCTCCAAGAATTAGTTTTGTATAAGAGAATTTCACTGCCTGGTTCAATTGCGTAACAGTTTCTCTTGGCTGCGAAAAGGCATAAGATGGTGATATACGAAATAGATTAAAAGACAGGATGGGGGCCTGGATTGAAGACGAAGGACAAACAGATCTGTGATACTGGTATAGCTATATCGGTCCCAGGATATTAGAAGATAAACTAGGGGGATGAGATATTCCTTTGCTGGACCAACTTCTTTTGATAAAGAGAAACACTTTCAAGCTACGCACACCAATTCTTCAGACCAAAGGAAGAGCTCTATGTAACTTGAAATCTTGTCTCTCTCACCAGAGAATTTGGTTCAATAAAAATTACTTCACCCACCTCGTTTCGCTAAACAGATTTGTAAACAGTTTCTAGATTTGAGCAAGAAGTCCATGAGTTTTCATGAATATCCATGCTCTTCAGGCTTCAGCGCAAACAGACCTTTAGGGGAAAAAAGGTCCCACCAAATCAAGAATCCAATGATGCAGATGTAACCACCACCAGGTGGATTTTAAACTGGGACCTCTGAAGCAGAGTATAGGAGCCTCTACCCTCTGAGCTAAAAACCAGCTGGCTCCCAGCCCAAGCTGTAGAGGTCTCTTGATCTTAACTGTTGCTGTGGTCTAGGTACCACTTGCATTGCTCATTAACCGCACTAGGTGTGTGGGTTATACAAACATGACAAAACTATGGAGAATTAATGGGTGAGTCAGTGAATATGTTTCTCTTAGATACTTTTGAGAATTTTGTTACTCATATTCTTCTATGTGCAATTTATATCCAGCCAGCCAGCCTTTGCTCTTTACTGAAATGCAATTGAAAGATGAAATAGTCTTAAAAAATCTCTATGCACAAGCTCCCTTGTGACCATCTCAAAAGATTCTCTGTCTGGTGTGGATTGTTTCAGTGGCTTAATGTGAAACAGTTCTTAGGCTGGAAATTTCCTTTAGGAAAAGGTAAACCTTTGGAAGAATCCCCTTTTTCTACTATTCCTAAATGTAAATATCATAAAGCCTTAGCACGCGAAGGATGTGATATAGTGTCAGTAACTTGCTGGTTGCTATGCTTGGGCCGTGGGCTCTGGATGACCCTTACTGGCCTCTGTCTGTAAGCACTGCCCAGCAGGGGGGCGCCTTGAGGGTCCTACCAGTTAAGGGAAGGGACAGAACAAAAGAAGTGAGTGTTGAGGAAAAGGGGGTCTTTGGAGGAAACCATGAAGGAGACAGACTAAGGAGGAGACTGGGAGTTTAGGGGCCCATCTCAAGGGGTCTGAGGCATCCTGGCCCTGACTCCTGTAGCCACATCACATCTATGTTGTGCTGTATCCTGGAGAAGCAATAAACCCTCTCTATTCTACTGGCTGGTGGAGCCTGTTCTTGCTGCTATTTGCATATATATGTAACCACACTTAAGTTGTGGCCCTCAGCACCTGCTGTGACTACCATTGTGACCCCTGGGGCTTCCAAAGTTGAGTAGCCCTATCTTAAGATTTATCTTCTCTGTACACAACAGAGATTGCACAAGGAAATTGCAGCTGTAAAGTCATCATAGTCCAGCAAGAAATTGGTCAAGCTGGGCCAACCAATGGTAGTTCAAGCCAGCAACATCTTCTCCTGAAGTTTGCTATTTTATAGTCCAGAAAAGGAATTTGCTCACTTTGTGCAGTAATCATAGTTCTTCGAGATGTGTCCCGCCATGGGTGCTCTATTGTACGGGAGTGCTCTGCTGTAGGTGCTGGGTCGCCTCACTGCCCCAGATTGGAGGATTGCACAGCCATAGAAGGTTCAGCTGCACATGCACACGAGTCGCCTCGTGCCCTTCGCACCTTGTGCTTCACGTGTATAGCCTGACCCCTTCTCAGTTCCTCACGTGTGCCCGAGTATCTAGACTAGAGAAACAGAGAAAGCCTGTCCGAAGACAGAGGGGAGGAGAATGGGTAGCGGAGCACCCACGGGGACACATATTTCAAAGA